ATATATATATATATATATATATATATATATATATATATATATATATATATATATAAAGTTTGATAAGTGGAGAAGAAGATTCCACCAACCATCTCAAATCCATTAAGCGGTTTTATCACCTTTTTTGTACGAATTTTTTAGTTTTTCAGTAGAAGAATGAAACCCACTGATCTGAAAATAAAAATAAAAACAAAAAAACAAATTACATTTTAAAATGGTAATTTTTTTTAGTATACATAAAGTATTTTCTAACATTCCCAATCCAAAAATGAACTCTAACTTAAAAGTTAAAATAATGATGAAAGTTATCGGTAAATTACAACTTTAAATTTATAATAATGCATAAGTTTATTTCTCTTTCCATAAAAGACATGTATTACGGTATTCTTAATAGTTTATATTAAAAAACCAATAATTAATTTTAAAAGAACAAATTGTATGACAAATAAACGTACTTAGTTGAGAACGTATATTAAAAAGACACATTTAACGATCAATACTTTAGAAATTGTTTATTTTAATACATGATGTTAATATAATATAAGTAAAACTATGGATCTTTAAATAGATATTTTTATGTGTGCTAAACTTACCACCAACCAACTACCAACCCCACAAATCCTCTTCCTTGTTAAAGAAAACTTCTCTTCCACATACCCAAATTGTCAGTTGGGTGGTCAACATTTTATGGCATGTCCAACTTCATACATAAAAAATGGAATTTGGGTTTCCCTACTTGCTACAAGAATCTAAATTTGCTTGCTAAGATTTCAAGAAATACCAAAAGTGAATGCAACTAGTGACAAGGACATAACCAATGAGATTCAAGAATTACGAAAGATTTATTTAAGGGATAACAACTCTCTTTGAATCATGTCGGTTCGTTAAGTGCTATCACTTCATAGTCGTGCACGTAAACTGAAAAGTGATTTCCAAGAACCAAAACCACACTCCATTCAGGGCCGGTCAATTGGCAGAATTTGAATCTAATTATGAATTTTTAGTCTTTTAGGACATGATATTATGACTTGGGTTGTATCTGTTTTAACGTATAGTTGAAGTTTCCCACCAAGAACACCATGTTATATGATTGCAAATACCAAGTGCATGTGGCTTACAAACCATACAATAAGTCATTTTTGTTGTTATACATCACGAAATTGTGTCAAATGTGTAAGAGTGAGCATGTAAGCAAACATGGTCTATCTATACAGATTAGTTTAAATCGATTAAAGAATCTTCGTCTACTGTTAAAAAAAAATCTAACTCCACCCATGTCATAATAAACGAGACCCATAACAACATAATGAAAACATTACAAGTGAAACCAACGGGGGATAAAATTCCAACATGACCATCAAAGCAAGTTGAAACCCCATCATTATTCATAAGAAATGGAAATCGACTTTGACACAGAAAAGAAAAAGAATCTGGTGACATTAACTTCAGTTTATATGGACGAAGCATTCATCATAAGTTATTTGATATTACAACCATCAAAGGACTCCAAATGTTTGACACCACATTCCATAACAGAATCGACTCGAGACAACTTGTCTAAAACTACTTCGTATATCACGGGCCCAATGACTTTGTAACAAACATGCTCGTTCTCATGTTTAGTAACTTGGCTTCACATTCAGGCGAGAAGCTATCTTTTGCCCGAGAGACTTGTCAGCCTGCAATAACATCACATCTTCTGTAAATTATTTGGATTGGATACAACATTAATAAAAAAAACTAGGTTTTTCACTACTCTCTACTCCTAGGGATGAGAGGTATGGTTTCCATGCCTTGTACCATCCCAAACCACACATATGGGAATTGTCCCCGACCCGTCGGGGAACCCGGTCCACCTGCCCCAGTTGGGGACGGAGATTCCCCGTTAAACCGGGTCTGGGGACGGGGATAGGGATCCCCGTTTGGCTCAAATATGAGACGGGGATGGGTATCTCAACCGCCTCGCCTCGTACCCATATATATGTTAATTAATAAATTATATTATTTATTATTTATTCTATTAAATCGGTAAATGATAATTTCTATTTAAATATATTTTGGATATTACTCGATATGTTTTTGGTACATGCAACGTTAATTTTTTTAGATTAAATTTAATTTCTTTTGGTTTTCGATTTATTAATTATTATATTATGATGTATATTTTTATATTAAATTAAATTCCTTTTGATTTTAGGTTTATTGGATAAATTTGAGATTTAAACATGTGAGGCGACTTATACATTTGATTTTAAAAAAATTACACAAAAGGAAAAAAATCCTCCTTGGGGATCGTGATGGGGCATGTTATCAAATTCCCCGGTGGGGACGGGGATAAATATGGGGGATCCGGGACGGGGATTTGGCTCCCCGCCCCATTACCATGCCTGGATGGGATATACTGCTAACAACACATTGTGTGACCTGTTAGCTTTTGCTCGAATGATAGTAGTTGTCACTACTGCGCTCTATGTCTTCCTCGTTTGTTTAACCTATTTCCCTCACATATGTCCTTGATGCATTTTCTGTTGACTGTACTCTATGGTTATTTGTGGTTTTGCAAACCAGGAGTCTTTCATGGAAACACCATCTCTACCCCGGGACCCCACCTCTGGGTGCGTGGTATTTACTTTTATTTCGGTTTATGAAACAAATATGTGTTAAATTGGTTTACCAATATCATAGTTTGTCAAAGTGTTGAATGAATAATAGTACATTTCTATTTCCCACAGAGAACTCTTAAGGCCATTAGGAATAATACTTATTCTATCTTGTTCATAAATTTTCAGCTTATAAATGGCGACAGTCCAGGCTTGTTATCAGCATGTACTACCAAATTCTTCCTAACAACTACTGTAGATACAGACAAATTGTTGAACACGCAAATACTACGTTTGGTTCTCCACATCCTAGAAACTATAATTCTGTAAGTGCATAATCATCGATTCCAGTACGTTTTGGTGCAAGTTGCAATATTAAAGCAAAGGAAGGAGGTCGAACCTGGGACCAGTATGAAATCCAAATTGTCCGGATCTCGTGGGTGACACGAGGGTTGGACAGGGCACCAACAATTCTACAGATGAATCGTTCTTGTCTGTAAAAAGAATAACATAAAAACCATGTTAGCTGATCCATGAAATTATAAACACGTTAAAAGGAAACAAGAGGCAACACGGAAACCTGTCTGGAGCCCAGGATCTGTATCTCTCTCCTGGCTGCTTGAAGTTGTTTTCTTTCTCAATCATGCACTGCATTAGACAACATATTACAATTTACAGGTTTTAGAAGGAATGATGATGATGATGTTTTTTCTAAAAAAAGGAATAATTATGTTTTCAAGGGAGACCTCTTTCAAAGTAAAGAATTAATGATGCCACTAAGGTTGGGTTATTGTGCCATATGGTAAAACGAATAACTCCTCTAGGTTGTAGAAAAAACTAAATCCGAGCCTTCTATTAGTTGTTCCTCAATAATTAGTTATTTTTTTCTAATTTATGAAATATTTTATGATATACATAGCATTTCCAATAATCGAGTGATATTATTGTTAAGAGTTCTATAAAAGCAATGAAATATACTGAAATCATGAACTTTAAGATTTACGCCATGTCAAAATTGAATATACTGATAACAATGTTGTGTTTTGTTCTTGTCAGTATATCTTTAGAAAACGCATATGACAAATTATTGTATTGGTTAATTCAGTGACGGTACTATAATTGGTGACATCATTATTCATTATCTTATATACTCGTGCATACTTTTTGTAATTAAGTTTATATGTAGTTCTATGATGTTAGAGATCTAAATTTAGCCTATGCAAATACATACAAATAATGGTGAAAAAAAAGAAGGCATGCAAAAGAGAGCGATAAAATGCTAAAGTTACCTATGAACAGGAGAGACTTGAGCCACACTTTCAAAGAAAAAGAAAATAAACAAACTGACCTTATCACGCTTTCCTGACAACCTAACAGGAGGAATAGGGTATTGCTCAGCATGACGAGCAGGATCATGTCTTGAAGGGAAGTAATCGATCTGGAGGAGTAAGAAGATGATAAGATTAGTAAGCAAACTCAAGGTATTGGTATAAGTACAGTAACTACTTACCTAAAAACCAAACATCAAATAAATCATAACAAACCAGAACTTTTTTTAGATATAGAGAAGTATACCTCCTCATCTCTATGCATGAAATTCATGAAACCATCATAGTGATTATTGTGATGAGCGCACTTGGGAGCATTGGCAGGAAGCTGCAAATAGTTTGGTCCAAGACGATGCCTCTGGGTATCAGCATACGAGAAAATACGAGTTTGAAGCAGCTTATCATCAGAATAGTAAACTCCAGGGACAATGATTGCAGGGCAGAAGGCAAGCTGTTCGTTCTCTGCAAAGAAGTTATCAATGTTCTTGTTCAAGACCATACGACCAACAGGCTGAAGTGGTAAGATGTCCTCCGGCCAGGTCTTGGTTACATCAAGTGGGTCGAAGTCGAACCTATCCTCATGATCAGGATCGATAGTCTGGATAAAGAGCTTCCACTCAGGATAGTTACCAGCTGCAATAGAATCATATAGGTCTTGTGTCGCATGGCTGTGATTAGCTCCACCAATCTTTATGGCTTCATCCTCCAACAGGCTCTTTACGCCACAGGTAGGTTTCCAGTGGAACTTCACATAATATGCTTTCCCGGCTTTATTAATCAGAGTGTAGGTGTTAACACCAGAACCTTCCATGTGCCTGTAATCTTGTGGCACACCAATGTCATCTTGGAGGAATGTAAACATGTGCAGACTCTCTGGATGGTGGGAGAAGAAGTCGAGAATTCTCCAGTCCTCTTGGATGTGTGACTTTGGGTTGGGTTTCAGAGCATGAACCATGTCAGGAAATTTCATCCCATCACGAATAAAGAACACGGGGAAATTGTTTCCCACCAAATCAAAGTTTCCCTGCAAACATAAAAGATGATCAACACATGGACAAACTGAATAAGTAGTGAATTAAAATGAATTAACGTATATGAAAAGATAATATCAGGAAAGCTTTAACCAACAAAACTTAATCGTTTAAACACTTCCGTACCAGAAACAAAAGAAAACAAAAAGAACTTACTGATACACATTTCTCTGGATTCTTAATGAAGGGGAAATCATGGGACTATGAATAAGAATAGCAAACTACAAAAGTATTGGTCAAACAGTCAAAAGCAACCAAGTGCAATGCTCTCAAGATTGAAAGCAGTACACATGACTGTAGCCACAGAGAGGATGGAATAGTCATATACATATAGATCTTTCCATTTCTTGTTGGGAAAGGAAAAAAGTCTAATATGCTGAACATGGATACAGCAATGCAAACCATGTCTGGCCATGGGTTGGATCCAAATAAAAGTTAAAAGAATGCAATGGGTAATAATGGAAATTCTACAGGCATGGTGCTCCTAATTGATTGAGAGTATTTCATATAACTACCCATAACACCTATGACTACATTGGCACATCAAACATAATAAGTAAGCATTAGCATCTACAAGGTGATCAAGGAACATAAATCAACATGGAATATAAGTTCACTGCTTTGTGTAAAGATAAATGTGCTTCAGCAACATATTATATATGTCTGTAACAGTATTGGATAGCCCTCACCTCTCTGGTATAGAACTTCACTGCAAAACCTCTAGGGTCCCTAAGAGTTTCAGGGCTTCCACGCTCATGGATAACAGTAGAGAAACGAACGATAACAGGAGTTTGGACTCCAGGAGCACGAAGAAAATCAGCACATGTGAGGCCAGAAATGTCATGTGTGACTTCGAAAAATCCCTTTGCACTGGCACCCCTGGCATGGACAACACGTTCTGGGATGCGCTCACGATCAAAGTTAGCTAGTTTCTCCACCAAATGGTAATCCTCAAGAAGAATTGGGCCTAGCATATGAAAAATAGATTATGATTAGTGAAACTTCAGGCATTATATGCAATTAGTATGCTAGCTAGCATAAGCAAGATGGCATTCAGGAGAATCTAGTAGCACCACGCATTTGGTTGACGTCACAAGTCTGTACATATCATACTGTACCGAGTATATGACAATAAGGTTGAAAGTACCCTAAGTGATTAGCTCACACAACTCACAAACAAGACTAGCCTCACAGACTATGTGATTAGCCCACATGCACCTCAAGGATTGAAAAATATGACAGCCTTGTCTTAGCATTCACATCTAAGATAGAATAAATCACATAATGGAGGTAGCACCAGCATGTCTGTTTTACTTGACATGTGCATGCAAGAGCGTTTGATCTATAGGGAAGTGCATAACAGTAACACCCATGTATATATCAAGTACAAAGGACTGAGGGAAATTTCAAATTCCCAAAGTCTACATGCATCAACTACCTTTTGAATGCTCATCTCCCATAATCAAATTCAGCCTTACAACTATTCGCCAAAAATCACCTAATCACAGCTTATTGACATTAATAAGCTATTCTAACAACCCAATAACAAAATCCATTGCACAAATACATGATTCGAAATGCCACTTGGATTCCAAAATTAGAGTATAACATTCCCAGTATAGTATAACATGAAACAGTCTACCAAGAAAGCCCAACTTCTATAATATAAACCTAACAAATAACAAATTAAGGTACCTCTGGTGCCAACTGTCAATGATGAGTTATTGTTGTAAACCGGAGCACCGGAATTGGTAGTCCAAAATGGGGCATTGTAAGCACTTGAAGAACGGTACTGCATCAACCAAAAAGGTCAGATCCACGAGTGGACAGAACTACTGTAAATGTCTAAATCAACACAAATAGACAAGTTAATCCCCCCAAAAAACACACTGGTATTCCTCTTAAACCTAAAGTGAAAGAATCAGTTTTCACGCAGTCTGACATATACATAATATTCAGCTGATAAAAGAGAGCTAAAGTTGGATCTTAAATTACCCATGGGAGGAGACAGTTTAAAAATTACATAGCTCAATCGATTTACGATGGAGAAACTGAATAAGAGCTTTGCTTCAAACGTTCACAATCTTTTTTGAATAAATACATGATTTCTGCTATGAGCTTGAAAGTAAGTAGCTAATAGCGTCTCCTTGAAATGGGAACTAGAGCACAACAAATCCAAAAATAATCAAAGTTCCTTCTGATATTATAAAATGAATTTTGCGTTCCAAAACTATCAGCAAAATAGTAAAAGTTTCTCGATTTTCTTCTCCTTTCTCACATCAAAACATGTATGCTTGAAAGTGCGTACGTATCAAATTCGATCACTAGAGTTCAAAATCAACATGAACTTAATCTCATGAATGGGGCAAAAGCAATCTAATTCAACAAAACCTTCACATCAATCATCAATTGAATCAAAGATTGTGTAAAATCAAGTAACTAAACAAAAATTCTGATATGTATCAAATTCAATCACTAGAGTTCAAAATCAACATGAACTCAATCTCATGAATGGGGCAAAAGCAATCTAATCAAAAAAACCTCCACATGAATCATCAATTAAATTTAAAACTACGTAAAATCAAGTAAACATGAATCATAATGCATATATGTAACAACTTGCGAGATAAACATCATATAACCTAACAGATACGATTCATAGAGAAATAATTGAATCAAGGAGTTGTAACAGCTGCGAAGTAGTGCATAAGCTTCAAAAACAGTTCTACCTTGTAAGGATCCATGGATGTGATGATGGATGGAGAGGATGTGATCGTTTCTTGTGGAAGAGACTATTTTGCTCTTACGAAACGTTGAGTATATATATAAGCGGTTTGGGGTTAATTTTCAGAACAATTTTTCTCTCTCAATTATCTTCTTCAATTTTTCGCGTATAAAAATATGGGATCAAAATATCATGAGATAATTCAAAATATCACTTTCATTATCTCATGAGCCCGTTTATGAGCCGCTTGTTAAAAAGCTCTCTCAAACATAAATCTATGTGATTAGAGATGAATGACCGGTATGACAAACCAAACCGTATCAAGATCGGTCCGTGATGTTACTGTCCTAACGAGGTCGATTTCACCATTCTTGTAGACCAAGTTCATTTGAATTGATTAAATAAAGATCACACTGATTAAATTCTTTTGTACTAGGCAAAACCAATATTTTGGTCTGGAACCATACGATATCGCCAGTTCAGGTTCAATTGTCACCTTGCCAAGCCGATATGAGCTTTTTCCGGACTAGTCTTTGTCAACTTGTTTGGTTTGAGGTGAATCATGCCCAATATAAGTCACATCTTACAACCAGTGAGTTGAATTTGTTAAGTCTTACGAACTTGAGCTTATTTTGAATATGAGCTAAACTAAGCTAGCAAGTCTAGCCATATGAGTCGAGTTCAAACCTTGAATGGCTTTGAGTAAGCAACTAAACAGGATTGCATGAGCTATATTTGTTGGGTGATTTAAGATCAAACTAAAACTCCATATAATGCTTTGAAGGGGCGAGAACCCGATACAGCAAACCTAAAGGGGGTCAGATAACCAACACAACACCATATAAGTGGTTTTGAAATCCAACAAACTGATCAAAATTTACAAGAAATACTTTGCATAACAACGTTTCTATCTATATAACTAATCATATATGCCAATTAGACATTTTCAATCTCATTATAGTTAATTTTTACAAAAATTTAAATAAATTTGTTAAAATTATTCAAGTGAAAAAGATGACGATCAAAATTTAAGATTTTTTAAAATACAGTCAAACCCGAAAGCCAAAACGAGTCAATTCCTTCTGTAATTGAATCCAATATGATTCTTTTTACATCCACATACACACATAAGTTGCAAAAAGCATGACGATAGTTTGACTCGATATTTTACAATCAAAATCTCACGTTTTTATCACGTGATGAAAGAAAACCGGCCATATTTTAGAAAAGGGCGCCGGTTTTTTTATGTTTTGGTGGGTCCCATAATTATGTAGAGGTGAAAAAACCAAGGTGGAGGGGGGTTGGGATAAAGGTATATTATGAAATATTGAATTATATTACTCAAAAAATAAAAACAAGTTGCACAAAACACCCCAAGGTTTAAATTAATGTTCAAAATAGCCCAAATTAATTAATCCATTCACTTTTTTTTATTAACTTGGATATTAAACCCGTTATGCGAGCCAACTCATTTTCTAACCTATATTTAAGTATTGTCACGATTTTGCCAAATAATTGTAAGTGGGTTTTGCAAATGTACAACCCATTTGCGATTTAATTTTTTCTTATTCGGACTAATAGGCACATTCTACAAATGGGGGATTTTGTAAATTACATTAAATTAGATAAAACTTAAATACATTTTACCCAATATTTGAGATTTGTGCATTAAACTTATTTTACTCTTGCTAATACATTTAATGCACGTATTGTGATTCCAGCAATTTATATCTAAAAGGATAAAATACGTTTAAGTGTGGAATCACAATTAACCATAATTAATGTATTTGAGAGAGAGAGTTTAATACACCTTAAGCACTTTGTTGCTTTAAAAAGATTGGCAAATTGAGGATTTTGTCCATCATTTGAAAATGTCACATCATAATCAATATAAAAATTCAAAAAAACAAGATGAGAATCTTAAACCCAAACAACAGTAAAGGGTTGTTTGGATGGTTTTCTGATTAAGTCATATACAGATAAATGTGTTTATGTAGTGAGGGCTTGTTTACAAGGGTTTTTTTATTAGATGAAAGAAGCTTGTTTTTTAATTAGATTAAACATGATTGGGAAAAAAAAAACTTAGCTTTATACATAAAGTTTTCTTAAATTGTTACCGAATAAGTCATTTTCTATATCATTAAATCACCATCAAACAATCATGTATAACTGACCAAATAAATTGTGAGTCTTATTAAACTCATTAAGCTGCTAACAAACAAACATTAAGAACACTTATTTGAAACTTCCAAAGATTAAAGAGTTTTATCAGACATAACATTTAGTTTAGTGTCTATTTATAAAATGTTTATAACTCAAGGGTTGTTTTTGAAAAATTACAAGTTACAAGGAACGCCACGCCTCGTCTTTCCTTATCCTCACTTTTGTAGTTTATCTAAATTTAAAAAGAGCCACTCGTGTCAGGTGATGACATGGACCTCTTACGACCTGACACGTGTCGTAAATGCCTTGAAACGTGTGCTCACTACATCCACCTTGCTAGTGTGAACACAGATGGAGTCTCGTAGATGCTTTCTGATAAGGTTTTATGTTTGTTCCAATTTAGCCACACAAATTACTATTTTTTTCCCAATCTTTCCAATTTATTTCTATAAAATTTGATAACAACTTCCATTTTGTTTTTATTAGCAATTTATATAAACTAAACCACTTAAAAATGCTTTCATTTTAAAAAACGAAAATTCAAAATTTGGTTATAGTTGACTAGTTTTTTTTTTTAAAGAGAAGTCTAAAAAAATTTTAATAGACTTTAATTTTTGTAATAATTAAGCTTTTGGACAATTTTTTGGAACAAATAAGTCTTTGGACATTTCAAAATCTATTAAATAATTTCTTGAATTTTTTAAAACTTATTAGATACATTCTTATAACCTATAAAACTGATTAATATGGTAAAATAATATAAAATGCTTAGAAAAAAAGCCAATGAACTTTCATATTTTGAGCGATTAAGTATTTAAACATTTTTTGAACCAAAAAAATACTTACATATAAAAAAATAAAACAAATATAACCAAAAAGTACTTACACAAAAGTATCTAACTTAGTTGTTCAAATGTGATTTTCAGTAAAGAGTATAATTAAATAAAAACTCTATATATTATGATAATCATGATAATTTTTATCCAAAAATATTTTTTTCATGCGATTTTTCTCAATTTAAAGCTAGCATTTAATGTATTGATGAAGATTTATTTGTTTTATGATGTGTTTGTTTCATATGTATTCGGTTTACGACGAAACTTTAATTTCATGAACAAACTAAAAAGGTTTACATTATAAAACAGATACATGTGAAACAAACATATGGTCAAATAAATATACGTTAATCAATATTTTAAATCCTAGTTTTTGATAATAAAAAAATCATATAAAATAGTACATGATGCATAGCTCTTAAGGTTATCACAATTCCATAAGTTCTTAAATAGAAAACCCCCCATTTTTCAGTAGATTTTATCTATATGTTCATTCTTTAATTAATATAAGAAACTAAAAACCAAAAAAAATAAAAACCACGATACACTTCTTGCGTTGGTGTTCTACCTTATTTCATATTATCCCAGTCCCTACGCACTGCATTTGTGGAATACTGTAAAATATAATTATACTACGTTATTATAATATAACTATACTACTTTATTATTATAGTTTTATTGATAATTACAAAATATAAATGACATCTATTAAAAACTTAATTATTAAAATAATATATCTATAGTATATTATAAAACATTTGACAAAAGCTTTTAAAAACCATTTTTTATGCATGAACAATACTGTCTATTGATGCATATTACTTAAAATTAAAAATTATAAGTAATTTTGCATAAGTACAACCTATTAAAGCTTCATTTTGAAATTCGTGTAACTAACTGCAGATAGACATAATCAAATACAAGATAAACATTCATTTTAAATATAAAAATATAAATTATAACTAATATAATTGTTAAGTTCTAACAGAATGTTCAATTATTATCTTACAAAAATATTCCATTGAGGAGTACCGTATAATGTAATTATACTAATTTATTATTATAATTTTATTGATAATTAGGTAATATAAATGACATCTATTAAAAACTTAATTATTAAAATTATATAGAGAGGATGATTGGAATTATTATCTTACAAAAATATTCTATACATTATTTTTTAGGCAAATTACTTGCTACATTAATTTAGAAATATGAGGTGTATGATTAAAGATGCTATAATAACTTATTCATAAACCTACAATGTGGTATTTGTTTTAGATTAATCATTAAGCAATACTTTAAATTGAATAAGCTATTGTACATTGTCGTCTATATTTTGTCGTTTTATTATAAAGTATTTTTAATTGGGAAGGAAAACAAATAAACCTTAAATGACTTAATTGTATATAAATCTAACATGGTAGAATAGATAACACTTTGTTGTAATATTATGTTAATTTCGATATAATATTCAAGACCAGTTGTTTATAGAGTGCAACGAAAACATTGTATTTTTCAATGAAGAAGTCGTAGGGAGTGGAGAAGAAGGGTTGGATATATCTCAATCGACTGTTGATAGCATATAATATACATGATGAAATTGCAAATAGTTTGGTTTATAATGTTCAAATTTTGAGAATTGTGTTCAGACTTGCCTTTTTAAGTATCTTATCAACAATGAATTTATGATTTTATGTCCAAATATAATTTTGGTGTGTCAGAAATATCAGTTAAAATATATAGCAACTTATCAAACGGCACTTAATTTATAATTCAAACTATTGATTCAAAAAAATGAAAATAAACAATAACATATTTTTATCGAGAGAGACAACTTAACTTATATGAAAATAGTAAATAAAAGAAATATTATTACCTGATTTTGAAACATGTCGAGGGTCCAGAAATGAATAATGGATTAATGAAAGTATGGTGGGCCGTTATTGGCCCAAGACTACCTTGAAGATCTGCATTCTGCAAGAGGGTATTGGACCATTTTATTAAATGTTCCCAATATCTTTTGTTGTACCAAAAAGTTAATCCCACGTCAATGACATCTTGCATTCTTGGGCTAAGCCCATTATGACTAAATAGATTCTGACATTAGGCCCACGAGCTATTAGACTTTTTAATTGTGAATTTTCTGATAATGACCAACCAATCAAAACGCCACCACGTGTCATAACATGAAAGGAGAAAAAACCAACTCCACCGGGTTGTAAAAGCTCATAGAACCAAAGCTTATCCAAACCCAAGTTAAGGCTGGAGCTCAGCTTTTCAAGCTACTAAAGCCATAAGTCGATCCCCAGCCTACCAATTTCTTCACAAGCCGGCTAAACTCAGGCTCAGTCAAAGCTCAATTCTCATCGTTATAAAATTGCAAATCCATTTTAAAAACATGGGCTTGGCTGAAGCTGAATCAAATAAGCCGTAGTGACAAACAAGAAATACATGTAGAGAACAGAAGCATCAAATAGATGGCCAAAAAGCAACTTACATAACATTTGTGCCACAAAAGTTTAGGCTTTCTCTTTACAGACCCGAACCTGAAACGCAATAGACTCCGCACATCGTGTGTGCGCTTATTCTAAGTTCCAGGTTCATTGCGTATACGGAAATATTACAGAACGAAAGATACAAATGAACAACACCGACACCATTCGTGTAACAGACTCGGAGACGGACCTTTTCTATACTAGCATGTTCACCATACTCGACATAAATAAGCGTCGTCCCAAGATGTTTTTACGTTCAGTAATTGGGGCGAACGTTGAGCCGCGAAGCTATCTTCTGCCCCAGAGATTGATCAGCCTGCAAACAACATCACTCCGTAAACCAAACCAAACAAAACAAAACAAAACCAGTATATATATCCACCTGAAGGCAACTAAGGGTAAGATTTACACAGATTTTAACTCTGTCTCAAGAGAGACAGAGAGGTTGTTTCTGAGAACATCCCTTACTTGCAGAAAGGTAAGGAATACAAATAGAAAGCACAACTGAAAGCCATGGATTAGGGGAAGACGAACAAACCTGGGACCAGTACGAGATCCAAATGCTGCGGAGTTCGTGGGTGACCCGTGGGTCGGACAACATCTTAACCATTCGGCAAATGAATCGTTCTTGCCTACAGAAAGAAACAAGAACAGTTTAAGCCATTGATGGAATCTTGAAACAGTTGCAGAAACGAATAGAACACTTTTCATATATACCTGTCTGGTTCCCATGATCTGTATCGCTCTCCTGGCTGCTTGAAATCGTTAAATTTCGGAATCACAGTCTGCGTTCATGAAAAACATAATCATTTACTCGAATCTTCATACAGATTAGATAACAATAGGATCAGATATATAACTAGAACAAACCAAGAAAACAAGAAAACTAACCCTATCGCGAGTTCCAGTAACCCTAGCAGGGTTAATCGGATACTTCTGAGCATGTTGAACACGATCATATCTTGATGGGAAGTAATCAACCTGAAAGATGATAATAATTCTGTTAAAGAACCTCAGTTTCTGATAAACTTGTATAAAACTAATAAACATATAGATATGTTGTACCTCTTCATCTCTATGCATAAAGTTCATGTTTCCATCATAATGGTTGTTATGATGAGCGCATTTGGGAGCATTCACCGGAAGTTGCAGGTAGTTTGGTCCAAGACGATGCCTCTGAGTATCGGAATACGCAAAGATCCGACCTTGAAGCATCTTATCATCGGAATAATAGATTCCGGGAACCACAAGACCTGGGTTGAACGCAAGTTGTTCGTTTTCAGCAAAGAAGTTATCAATGTTCTTATTCAAGACCATCCGGCCAACCGGCTGCAGCGGAATGATGTCCTCTGGCCAAGTCATGGTTCCATCGAGTGGGTCGAAATCGAGCCGATCTTCATGATCAGGATCGATAACTTGCAGAAACAGCTTCCATTCAGGGAAGTTACCAGCTTGAATTGAGTCGTAGAGATCTTGAGTGGCGTGGCTGTGATTAGCTCCACCGATCTTGATGGCTTCATCGTCCATTAGACACTTGACTCCACAGGTCGGTTTCCATGTGAACTTCACATAGTGCATTTTGCCTTCTTTGTTAACGAGAGTGAGAGTATTAACACTCGAACCTTCCATGTGACGGTAATCGGTGGGTATACCGACATCGTCGAGCCAGAATGTCATCGTGTTCAAGCTCTCGGGATGGTGCGAGAGGAAGTCGAGAATTCTCCAATCCTCCTGGATGTGTGACTTGGGGTTGGGTTTAAACGCGTGAATAACATCCGGGAATGCCATCGCATCGCGAGTAAAGAAGACGGGGAAATTGTTCCCCACGATATCGAAGTTACCCTGCAAGCAGAAAGATTGAATCACAGTGTTTAACAATCGATTCCCGCATCATTCCATCAACAAATCAGCGTTATAGGATGTGAGATATGTTTAAATATTGCAGGACTTTTTAACTTTTTCACTAGTTTCAATCAAATTCACATGACGACCGCCATTAATTACCTCTCTTGTGTAAAACTTGGTTGCAAAACCTCGAGGGTCTCTGATCGTTTCGGGGCTTCCACGTTCATGGATAACAGTCGAGAACCGAACAATGGTTGGAGTCTGGACTCCTGGGGCTCGGAGGAAATCGGCACAGGTGAGATGGGTGATGTCGTGTGTGACCTCAAAGAACCCCTTGGCACTCGCCCCTCTTGCATGGACAATACGTTCTGGGATCCGCTCACGAGTGAAGTTGGCAAGTTTCTCGATCAAATGATAATCCTCGAGGAGAATTGGACCTATTACAGTTATTGTTAGAATACGTGAAACTCTTAAATTTCAAGCCCTTATAAAAAAATAAGGTTTTATATATATATAGAGTTTGTTTCAAATACAATCCATCGTATTTGTACAACCAATGCAATCCAATAAATTGAGATATTTATGAAAATGATTATAGTTCATTTATTATGATTTGAATATTTATGGAAGATGAATATGGTTCATTAATTATGATCAATACTTTATATTATGAAACAATCAAAACTTTTATGAAATCACATATTAATAAAATGAAATGGACGGTTGAGATTGAGTTGTAGTGGTTGCACAAATGTCAAGGATTATATAATAACTATATATATATATATATATATATATATATATATTTATATATACTAGAAGAGTACTCGCGCAATACAGCGACATATATCTTGATTTTAATATTTCATTTTATTTTTTATCTCAATCGATATTATAATATGATCTTTTGTGATTTTGAAAAAGCGATAATGTTTTTATTTTTGAATAAAATATAATTTTGAAGATATCATAAAAATTTGACAAATTATATCGATATTAGTATCAAATTAACTATTTAAATTTTTTCATTTCTTTTTTTTAATTCAAATTTAATTTAAATTCAATAACGAAGTAATTTATATTTGGTTTAGTAATATAATTTTTTCTTATAAAAATAATAGTTAATTATTTTGTTAAAACTCTATAATTATCCTAGTTATATTTTAGATTTTTTATATTTTAAAATGAGATATTTATCTTTGATCTGATTATGTTTATCCGCTCACAAATTCAAACATGGAGCTTTAATAAGTTATACTTATGTATAATTTACTTGTAATCTCAAACTTTAAGTAATATGCATCAATATACAGTACTTCATGCATAAAAAATGGTTTTTAAGATTTTTTGTCAAATACTTTATAATATAATATAGATATAGGTTTGAATATTTGGCCAATAAATACCTCTGTTTCCAACAGTCAATGATGCAGTGTTGTTGTAAACCGGTAATCCAGCATTTGTCGTCCAGAAAGGGGAATTGTAAGCACTTGAAGGGCGTTGCTGAAACAAATAAATCGAAATGCATCAGTGATCATCAACCGAACAACCCACATAAAATCATTATTACCATAACAAATTAAGATGACAGTTTTATCGGCAATTACATCAGGGGGAGGGAGGATGAGATTCGAACCCTGCACAACCCGACCAAATAATTCAGCTCCTTGGAAACGTACATCCAAATTGACGTCATGGTATAAAGCTAACTCTAACCAAATTAAGACGGTATATCCAACTCAAAAGCGACTCTAAATCATGTGAAATTTGAAATATATGTTTCGTAAATAAATATCTTTTTTAAGCCTTTAATTAATAAATTTTAAATACACAAAATTTCAATTTATAGATTTTAAAATATATATTTTAAAAATACGATTAATTTACCTTTTTTTTTTTATAATTTGCCAAGATATAGTTGTATAATAATTATTTTCTTTTTAGAATATTAAACACAATAACTGAACCTTATAAAGCAATATTTCTATAAAAAGGATTTTTGTCTATTTTTGATCGATAAAGATGTGTACTGAACCAAGCTGAATCCGTGCCGGTTTGGTTTTGATCTTAGAGAAGATTAGGTCTGTTTCAATTACCTTTCTGGCTTGGGTTCGACCAGCCCAAGGGTTCGATTCGACCAGATCTGGTTCATATAGGTTCGGGTCCTTTACACTTGTATAAGCTTAAACTTGGACTTGATCCATATATAAATTACTTGCGAAATATTAAAGTATACGTCAATGCACTAAACGAATATAAATTGCATTATGGCTCGATATGCTCACTGGGCACGACTCATTTAGATCAAGCACACTAACAAGTTGGCTCAGGAGATCTCATGAATCAAAATCGTCAGTATTTCCATCTTAAAACACAAAGAAACCAAAAACATATCATGCATAGTTTAATATGCAACAGAACACGATCGATGGTTACTCCAACTGCGAGATTCGTCTGAAAACACAAAGTTTACCTGACTTTTTCAAGATAATGATGATCATTTTGAGATATATATATATATATATATATATATATATATATATATCTCCATGGTAACAGCATATGTAATTGCATGCATTAAAGAGTTGTACGAAAGGATTGAAGAGGAAGCAACAGAGAGTTGTACCTTGTAGGGATCCATGATCTAGCAAGGAAAGGAAAGAGAAGAAGAAGCACTTCGTTTGTGATCAGTGTGTATGGCCCTTTAACTGCAGATGCACGAGACTTATTTATAACAAAAAAATCTTGTTTTTTTTCTTGTATAAATTTAAATAATATATCATTTATTTTTTAATTTGTATTCAGAAAACCATAAGTGTACAATAATATAATATATATATATATATATATATATATATATATATATGGAAATTGATTTAAATGACCATTTTTCACACCCAAATCAGCCTTTAACCATTTCTCTTCTGAGTTTACCTAAATGTCAATACTTTGGTAATATTCAGGTCCACAATATTAGTTAAGTCCGTAATATTAACTAAAAAACCAAAAAAAAAAAATCTAACTCAACACACATCTACAATTGCAATGGTCAGGTCCATAATTGCTACGGCCAAGTCCGCAATAGAGAAGGTTAGGTCCACAATTGTGACTATAAATCAGTTGAATTTGAAATTTTTTTATCTTTTAGCTAATATTGCGGACTTGTATATCGCAGAAGTAGTAACATTTGGACAAACCCGAAATAGAAATGATAAGAAACCAAAATTAAGTATGAAAAATGATCATTTGAGTCAATTATATATATATATATATATATATATAATTTATTTATTTATATATATATATTTATACATGGAAATCTGTATTCAGAAAACTATGCTTAATATATCCCCATACATCAAAAATATGTTGTAAACAGTTTAAAGTCATTTCTATGTTTTCATTTTATTCTCTCTCTTAATAATTTATCATATTATTTCTATTATGGCTTTATATAATTGAGCGAACTACAATATTGGTCCCTTGGGTTTACACAATCTCTAAAAGTGGTACCTAGACTTTAATATATACAATTATCATCTTTACTTTTTACATTTTGCTTTAAAAATAGTCCTTGATCACTAACTTCGGTAAATATGTCCGTTAAGTAAAGGGCATTTATGTCTTTTTATCCTTCTTCTTTTTTTCTTATCTATTTTGTCTTTACTCAAAGGACAAAAATTGTAGTTTACTTTTTATGTATTTAATATTTACTAGAAGCGTACTCGCGCAATGCAGCGAGATACATCGTGATTTTAATATTTCATTTTATTTTTTATCTCAGTCGATGTTATAATATGACTTTATGTGATTTTGAGAAATCGATGATGTTTTTATTTTTGAATAAAATATATGTTTGAAGATGTCATAAAAATTTGACAAAAATATATCGATATTAGTATCAAATTAACTATTTGAAATTCCTCATTTTTTGTGTAATTTCTTAAATCAATTTTTTTATAATTTAATTTATCTACAATAACGAAGTAATTTATATTTGGTTTAATAATATAATTGTTTTATAAATATAATAATTATTTATTTTGTTGGAACT